TGTATGACTATTGACTATATTTATACATTTTGATCAGCCCATCCCGAAATAAAATTCTGGATACGCGTCTGGTAATAGGTATAGGCACACGAAGTAATGAAGACAGCGGTGTATAATGTGTTATTACTTRATGCAAAACAAAACACTAAAACTTGTAACAAGTTTAAGAAAATATTTATGTAATGTTGTAATATATTACAAAAGTCAAAATTTAGTATTGAGTCTTAGTTAATACATTTTAGTAGACCAGAAACAAGATCTAGCAACATAGAAACTATTTAGTTAAGCTATAATATTATATAATAATAATATAGTGAGCAACAACAAAGGTAWAGAAATAACTTGACATAATCAAAAATTTGTAAGCACACCAATAAGCACAAAAATGTTTGTAATTGTTGAGCTGAGTTCAAAATATACGAATGCATAAATACATGATGCGGACACTTTAAAATAAAAAGGTATAAATTGTTACTTACTACGCTATTGTGTGTGTGTTTTTAATGGAGGTAAGTTGGAAATGATCATCGTATACGACAAAGTAGCGCCGCCATACTAGTAACTTATTACTTATCGACTTTTAAAGTGAGCGCTCGAGCGCGCTTATGCTTTTGAAAATATTTTTTACGAGGTTTCAAGTCATAACAAAACAACGTTTTTTGTAAAAACAAAATAATAATTTTTAAATTTCTTACATTTTAGAATGGCAACATCCAGTTTCAAATTAATCTTCAAGACTTCAAAAGTAGAATATTCTTTGAACATTTTATGAGTTATAACTGTTACAAGTATATAAAGTTTCGGCAAGCAAAATAGTGGACCAATAATTTCTAGGGTAACCGTATTATACCACTCTACTTCGCTTATTTAAATTTTAAATACTTAAAGCTCATAATTATACTCATCGTAAATTCGATTTTTATGTACCGAAATACTAAGGAAAATATTCTGCTTTCGAAGATTGAACTAAAATTATATATTTTCATTTAAATGTGTATAAAACTTGCCAAGTTAAAAGAAAAAAAAAATATTTAAAAATATGTTTATTCAAAACACACGTTGTCTGTAACGACTTGAAATCATCACATAAAATAAATATTTTCAAAAACATTTATACTTTTTGAATCAGTGATTCTTGAAAAAAGTATCGCCTTGTTTGTACATTATATTTTTTAATCATCGTTTATGCGTGTATACACTGACTTTGGAGTTTACGTGAGTAGGTATATGCGTATTATTTGGGTATATCAACCTTGCACAGTTTTTTTTTTTTTTTATTATTGATCAAAGTACACTGACAACTAGGCCATTAGATAAAGAAATTTGTTTTGGTTACATTTTTAGTATTTTAAGTATAAATTTTCTACATTAAATTAAATTGTACAATTCTGTTTTTTTTAAGAATAAAATTAAGTTTTTTACATCCTGTGGGTTTGGTCCAAGTGCTTGACAGATTTGTTCGGATATGTGAAATTGATTTCGATACTGGTTGTATTTTTGACATTCAGTGATGATGTGGTTGACGGTTAAAAGTACGCTGCATGACTCACATAGTGGAGGATCGTCTTTACTCATCAAGTAGCTGTGTATTAAGTGTGTGTGGCCTGCAATTCTGAGGCGGTTTATTATGGTTTCATCTTTTCTATTGAGTTCAGGATTTTTCCATGGGCTTATACATAGTTTTTAAATGTGTTTAATTGAGTATAATAATAATTTTCACAATTTTCGAATTTTTTTTTATTGTCAAAGTAATAAAACGGKTTTTTCGTGAATACAAATTTTTGATATTTATATGTGACCATGAAAACTATATTTTGAGTTTTCTTGAGTGTGTGAACAAGACATATACGTTCGTGTACATGTGT